TATCGACTAAAAATTCCATAAGACCGAGTTTCCCTGCTCTGATCGCGGTCTCCATCAAGAAACGACTAGGCTACGACTCCATGGGGCCACTAAGGCGCTACTACTCGAAGCCACTAAGGCGTACGAACGTTATACTTAGGCGTAAACAGATGGCCACGATGGCGCTAAAGGAACAGAATGAATGGTCTTAAGTACTGCAATTTGTGCGCGCGATCACCTCCTAGATCACTCGATGACTTTTGTTGATCACCTGCAGCACTCTTCGTTGTGCCGGGCGCCTTTCGGGCCCCCTCCTCTCGTCATCTATTAATCTTCACTTAGTATTTGCGACTTTGGGACCATATCGCGAGAAAACATCGGATTTGGTATCAAAAAAGTTACCGAGCGTGTTTTGAAGTCCCCATTGTCCCCGATTCTTATGACGTTAATATGGGTCAAAGTTGAGCGAAAACGGTAGAGTCGATTGGAGTGATGGATCTTGAAGATTTCTGCCTGGCTGCTATGCCAACTTTATCAATACAAAAACCAAAGAATGGCAGCTGTCGGGCTCTGCAATTTTGGGTTATGCGAATTCTAGCGCTATATCTGAATACCGTTATACAGGGTGCGGCAAAAGTTCTGGCAACGGTAAATATGCCCGTAAAAAACGGTCGAATCGATCGATACATGATACAACTTCAACAGCATTTATCAACAGCTATATAGATCACAAAAACAAACTAGATCTCGAAATAGCCTCCTTTTGCTCGAATACAGGCTGAAAGTCTCCTAGGAAACGCGTCGACGGCGGCACGGAGGTAGTCCTCGTCCAAATCCTCCCATGCTTTGACGAGGGTTGCACGTAGAGCATCCAAACTTCTATGCTGAGTAGAGCAGGCTTTCGTCTTAAGAACTGACCACACGGAGTAGTCCAATGGATTTAGGTCTGGACTGTTTGGGGGCCAATCGTTCGACGAGATGAAGTCTGGGAAGTGCGTTGCGCACCAGTCCTGTACCACCTTGGACCTGTGTGCTGGAGCTGAGTCCTGTTGATAAGTCCATGTCCGGTTGCCGAAATGGGATTTTGCCCAGGGGAGTACCTCCTTCTCCAACACGCCTTTTAAGTAGGTCTTGCTATCCACCTTGACCCCTTTCTCCAAGAAAATCAGGGGCATCTTGCCGTCCGATGTGATTGCCCCAAAAACCATCAACGACTTGGGGTGTCCAGATCGCTGAGCAATCCCTCCATGTTGGCTGGCTTCTGCAGGGCTTCCCGCTATCATCCTATCGTTTTGGGTGTTCAGGAATTGATCTGTTGAAAACAGACATTCGTCAGTGAAAAGGATGTTGCTGTGCCGTGCCTGCGAAAATCGCTTTAA